ATATATCGTTGCAAAGTACAGTACAAATGTGCGACGTGATATCGCTGTTGATCACCAAGTTAAATCAACTTGCCGACTTACGCATAGACCAACAATTCATAAGGAAAAACAAGTGCATGGCGCGTCCAAGTTTGAGAAAACAACACAACTTCATTTTTATGTATAGTTTTATTTCATATGCCAATGAAAACATACATACAACGTAGCAATAAATAATAATGGTACATGAATGAATGCAGTGTGATTTCCTTTGAGGGGATGATGTTAATGATTTCTGTAGAGGATCGATATATCGATCGATATCGACATTTGTGAGAATAGGGTACTCATAGGAATACACAAATAACAACATTATACAATATATGAACTAGGCCTTCAGCACTCCACCACCACAAAACCGGGCAGGAGGGGCGCTTATAGCGGACGGGCAGCGTGCGATTCATCGTTGAGAGGAGGCATCCATTGAGAGGAATTTCATATGTCGTCGAGTGATGAAAGTGAGAGTAAAAGGGGCGGTGATTTCACAGAGGCACCATGGGATGACCATAGAAATTAGTTATCCCAGACCTACACACACACAACCGATACATAGAAAAATTGAAAATCTACAACAAATTGAAAATATTTAGAAAAATAACAATTTAGTGCTAAAAGGAGTGCGTGAGGGGGTCTTATAGAGGTGTTCAGAGAAAACGAGCAAATCAATAAACCTTTCAGGGTAGGCGTGAGAAAAACAATAGAAACAAGAAATGCACACTGAGCATTTGAAAATAGCGAAAGCCAGGTTAAATAGCAGTTTTGTGGAAGCTTTCTGATATAAAACATCGTCAACGACCCGCATGCATTGTGAACAATGTGTCTGTGAATGAATGAATGAATGAATGAATAAAAGAATGAATGCATGAAATAATGGTCAGTATATCATCATTATCACCATTTCTTATCAGTTGCCTAAGAATTAGTAGCAGAACTCAGGACATAAAACGAAAGCTGTGTAGAAAAACAAAAAATATGAAAGAAAACAACTAAAAATACTTTTGATATATGTGTAGTAAATGTTTGCAGAATACTTTTCACCGAGATATCGATTGGCTACAGATCATCACGAAGGAATGGACACGATTTGGGGTTGGGACATGAGAGGGGCGCTATTTTGACATTTTGAAGAACATCTTCTCCTAAGTTTACTACTCACGACGTGAAGCGCTGCTCCCATGTGGCCTGAAAATTACTTCAATAATATTGCGTCATAAAACAACCAAATACATGATGAAGAAGCAAATAAATAATAAATAAAAAATTCTTAATCCAAGTCTGTAGAAGGCGGATGTCAGACTTTCAAATCGAGCCATTCGCTACCAGCGATTCGTTATCGTCCGCGGTAGCGTCGCGTACAGCGAATGGTTCGAATTTGCAAAGTCTGACAGCGGCCGAAGATCGAGGAAGTGCAAAATAATTGGCAAATTTCACAAAATTTCAAAAACTCCCTTAGCTACACAAAAACTTCTTAATATCCTCCCATATCTTTCCGATGATGCCACCTACTGGAAATGGGATCCCCTAAAGAGTACCGGGCGACACTCCCCTGGCGCTCGGACGAGATGGCTCTGAAATCCCTCATTTTCATACCACTTCCAGAAAGCGATTAGGCTCGTAGTGCCAAGATCTCTATGCAGAGTGGGGGAGAACGACTGTCTGCAAGTGTTTTCTAAACTACAGTACTCCCTACCGAAGATGAAGGATAAACCACTTCAACAGTTCGATGATCAGCGTCATTAGAGGTTTTATTCACTTGTTTACTAGGCGAAACCCAAGCGGGAGAAGGAAAAAAATCTGTTCATTGATGTTCGATGTAACTCTTTAGTAGTACACCAGTATTGGATTGCCACTACACCAGTAACTCACAGGTTGTCGCTCTGTGTCCCGGTATAGAGCCGAGAGACTCCAACGTCACCACCGATACCGTGTCCTTTTCATCTTCGTAGATTCGAATTTCATCAAATGGAGCCGCATTTTGATCCGATTCAAGATCATGTAGTTGAGATCGCAACCTGTCATCTGGAACAGAAGCACTCAGAAACGAATAAAATACAACAGATAATCGAGTCAAGATAACAAACTGTAACCAACAACTCACCAATCGGCGGTCGGGTGTACATCGGTGCCGGTGGGCCCATTATGCCGTTACCCTCTATTGGCATTACCGGTTTCCGGAGATTTGTTAACGAGTACTAAAAAGAAGATACTAAATATGTCGAATTTAATACACCCCTAACCATTCGAAGCGATGTGCCCGATTCATGCAAAAAAGGAACGATCATGCAAAATAGCGATCGATAAAAATACCTGATCATGATCCGCTCCCTCCACTTCGATTCATACGGTCGGAGAATTATCACGATTCAGATCTTCTGGTCGAACCGATTCGAACGGTGTCGTTTGACGACGAGCATACACCAACATTAGCATGACTAGCACTGAAAACGAGGCCTTAAATCACCACGGAACTAGTAAATTAGAGAAAACGAATACATAAAAAAACACACCCTATTTTTAGACACAAGCCCCACATACGCCTAAACACTTGGTGTATGTCAAGAGTTTTGGATACGTTCAAAAAAAAAACATAAAGATGCATACGCATTGTTGGTTGCGTGCGGTTGCGGACGTCGCGCAGAAGCAAATTCGTCGCATTGAGTAAGTCATTCAGATAGTTTCTTGCCGTGACGCGACCGCCCGCAACTAATGCAGAGCTTACTACATTATTGTTTTTTCGAATCTAACAAAATTTTTGACATAAACTTTCCGATAAAAATTCAATCAAAGCCGGATAAGACACTAGGGGGAGGGAGGTGGAACCAGTAATAACACAGTTCAATTATCACTCAAATCAAAACTATTGGATGATGTCCTTCAGTAAAACAATTGAAATACAAGTAACTTACTTATCAACAGGACCAAAGAAACCAGTATCAAGATGATTGCCGGATTGCTGATGCCCAATTTGCTACAGCCAACGTCTCACCACACCCGACAAGCTAAAAAAGGAATGAAGATGAGTAAAAAAATAGAATAGTAAAAGGGTCAGTAAAGGAATAATAACCGATACACACCTGTCCGTCATCGCCAAGCATCGCATTTGCACCTTCAGGACACGTACAGAACGCTCCTTTCCAGAAATCCATACATACCATGGCACCGCTACAGTAACCAACAGGCAGCTGGGCACAGGTGATCAGCAAACTGCATCCTACAAAAAGAAATCCTTTCAATAAAAGTCCTCTGAGGCAAGCATCACTAGAAATCGCACGTCCGATAATCCCTCTATATCACGGCAGTTCCAAGGCCATATCTCAGAACTCTAGTTCGTTTGGAACCCATTAAAACCTTCATATTACATCGACCGTATTTCCTTATCGCTCCCTCAGCCTCCGTTCCCTCGCAGATAAAATTCCCCAGAGACTGGAGAAATCATAAAAAAGCCCTTTCCGAAAGGAAAAAAGCGGAGCGGCATCCACCCCACAAAAAAAGCGTCCAACGGTTGTCGATAACAACGCGATAAGTAGAAAAACGGCTAAAAGGACACCGATAGACCTCACATAAAAACGGATTAGTGCAAAGACGTTGTGAATCTGACAGCTGCTGCACTCTCACAACACAATTGAATGATGGATTTCTACCAAGTCACTACAGTAGTCCGCAAGGAATCCCCCTAATCTTCGAAAATATTTGCATGCCCAAAATTCGACGCTGTGAACTCTAAAAACTCAATATGTGGGCTTTCGAGGGATGTAATGAGAAGGACTAGTAGTATTGTAAGTGTACTTCAATCTCTGCAAAATGGGGTACACTTCTTCTGGGTCCTTTGAAGCTGAGCTTTCAAGCTCTCAAATCCCTAAACCAGTAGTATTCGTCACCGCGACTTTCCCCTTGGCAGCTGGCAACCTACTTCACTGCAGATTGAACAAGAAGGGTCTCAAAAAGGAGGAAAGGCTAAGAAGGAAGTACCTAACCTACAGCTTCACTATGCGAATTAAATGAAGAACCTAACAATCGTAGATTCACTTAACAAGTACATGAAGACGAAGGAAAGACACCTTATAAGTTGCTTTGTTGAAACCGGTTATCCTATCCACCTGAAATCTTACATAGAAGACCCAACTAAAGAATCAAACATGTTCCAACATAGCTCAAAAATCGGGACATTTTTACACCTTTACTCCCGTCGATTTCGGAAATTGGACCTAAAATGACAAACCGCGAATCCACCTCTTCACCTTGCCTTTCTTTGTTCCCTATCCCTTCTTCCAGCTGCCTCGTCTAGTT